ACTCAATATATATGACTTGAAACAGGGGGATCTTAATTGTGTGGGGTCTGGGAGCAGTAATCTTCTAGAAAGGGCCTTTCTCAAATCTCGTATCTTTAGGTGCTCTCGATGAGGATTCTATTTGCTAGCTATTAAATTGGAAAAAATGAACTTGTAATACAAAAAGTGGGGGGGGGGGGGATTTATCATTGTTTAACCACATAATTTATCAATCTCATTGATTAAGTTTGAATGAAAAGGAAAATGCAAAATATTTTTAGATAAACATCCATTTTCTATTACTGGAATAAGGATATCTTTGTTATGATCCTGTAGAGTGCAAATGAAATGTTGGAAATTGCAACATCTTGTACAAGAATGTTTTTGTGATCACTTATTTATGAATACATGTATACCTTAATGACCAATTATTAAATCAAAAAAGTCAATACAGTCAAACCTCATTGTCTTGAACTTATGGGACAAGAAATAACTTTCAATTGAGATATCGGATATTTGAGATGTCAAGGGTAAAATGCTCGAGGAGTAGGTGTCAATCTGGAGTAACCATGTAATTTAAGATTTCAGTTTTCCAAATAGCAGTTAAAATTACAATTACTTCTGTAAAGCAATTAAAACTTATAGAACATTCATCCGATTGTATGTTGCAAAATGAATATATGGCTTTATTTTAATTATATTTAGTTGTCTCTAGACATCAGAAGTGACCCAAAGAAAGACTTTGTCAAGTACATGTACCTTAAATTCTTAATAATGTAGCAATTATTTCTCATAAGTCCTAGAAGGATGCTTAAATTTTGTAATTTTATAGAGATAATGCTGATTGTTTGACTTCGGGCATTGGGCTTACATTTTAAGGTGTTTGGATCTGAAAACTCCTTGCAAGTTGCTTATATTTTGTAATTTTGTACATGTATATAATGCTGATTCTAAGACTTCAGGGTGTGCATTTGGTTTACATTTTTAATGAGTTTGGTTTTGTTTTTAATCAGAACACCAGAAAAATATAATTTCCTTTTTTGGATCAAGTCCATATTGATAGCAGTACTAGTTACATTCAGGCTCATTGCATATGAAAATATATCTCCAATTGGTGTCATTAATAATCAAACATCTATACCTAAAAGAATTTTATACTTTGCTATGCATTTTGTACTACACTGGAACAATATGGTCATGCAGAGCTGTATAGAGTTCTGATGCGCATACATGTGTCACAGGCATTAATAATGTTTATTGAAAGACTCTTTATCAGAGGTAAAGGAATTAGCACATAAATAAAGATTAGTTGAGTATACCAGTATGACAAGCATCTGTAATAAAATTGTAGCCTAAAAATCACACGTTCAAATTGGCACTGTCAAAGTGCCAGATATCTTCATTGCAGCTAAACTGGTTATTGGTAAGTATAAATTTGAATAAACTTGTTACATGTATCAAGTAATGTATCTTTTTCTAGGAATATCATTAAGACCAGCATATGTTTTCAAAATATCATTATAATTGACAGTTCTACAACCATTGGTAACCATCACTAAGTAGTGAGATCTATTCTTATAATTGTGTAATCCACATTTGTGTTGGGAATCTCCCAAGAAACTACATATTTGGGTATCAATAAGAATATAGTAAGATTCAACCTTGAAACTCGAGGTTTTGAAATGTAATTAAGGATTTCAAATAGCTCTGCTTAAATTTGCTAATTAGAGAGTGAATGTGTCACCTTCGGTGACATGAAACTTGGTTCATCAAATAGCAGCATATGCATTGGCTTTCCTAGCAATTTTCATGGATTGAGAATTATGCTATATGTAATGATAATGAATGAAACTCCCCCTATTTGGTTATAAATCTCCAGATATTTGTTTTGATGAATTACAACCTATATATAAAACTTGCCTTGGAATGCAATCTTTTTAATATTAAATGACGAAAAGTTGATAGTTCCGTTCGAATTTAAAAATCTGAAGCAAAGCTTCATTACAAAATGTGGTGAAAGAGCTTGCTAAGTCTTTATCAAGTAAATTTATAAATATTAATTTTGCCATTTTCTGATTTCGTCCTCATCTTGCGTGAGGTTGTGAAACTTGTACTTTCAGGTTCTAAGATACATGTACACGTAATAAGATGTTTTTAAGGAAGCTCTAAACACTGCACACTAAAGGGTACTATTTGTAGGATAGTTTTATTGAGTTAGAGTGATCTGCCCTTAGAAGAAAAATATAATAAATGGGAATCAATAGTTACTGACACAATTTGTTATGAATCAAAGTATTTTAATGTTTTGTTAGACCAAGATTAAGTAATTGAATACATCATTTCCATTAATTTTCCCGATGTAAGTAAACAACAGTGATTTCTGTTCACAGATAGTTCGTTGTCTTTGAACTGTTGAATATTTTTCCTGCAGAAATAGGGCAGGTACCCTATGTTGAAAATGAACTAGATACACTGAATATGTGCACCTTTATATGAAATATATTTCTCAAAGTCCAAAAAGCATTTTTGATTAGTGTTTAGAGCTTCCTTAAAGCTGAAAATCTTAAGACAGAATTAAGAAAAAATGAACAACAATTCCAGTGGGGAAAATGTAGTTTTTGGCTTAGGGAGTTATTGAACTTCATCAATGTCATATGATGAGGATATGATCAGATTATTATTTATATTTCATATAAAAAATTGATAATTTAATTTTTTTGAAAAGTATCACAAAAAGGTGAATATTTTAAATTAGCAAAGGTCATTAATTAATAAAATAAGGTGTACAGCATTTAACCATACTTTTACTAAAGTTGAATCACGACAAATTATATATATCGGTGATGTTAAAATTAATGTAGCAACATGTTAACCCCGAATTAAGATTTATAAATAGTGATGTGGATTCACAATAAACATCTTGTAAAAGTGGAAAAGACATAACATATTTTTAAGTCTATACCAATGCTTATCATTGATCATGTTATGTCAAATGTAGGGAAAATGTACCCAATTCAGATAGTACAGCAATTTAGTTGCATATTTATGTATACCGAGAATTGATTTGCATAATTTCAGTTTATCACAGATTAAATTGGATTACACCCTGTCCAACCCCAGGTATGCTATTTTGTCTTAGTAAATGGGTTAAAATAACCCCAATTTTCTATGTGCATACAATACAATAAAATAAATAAATAGAATACGAATAATAGAATGGTCAAAAATGTGAAAAGTGGTTTTAATGTCTGGATTTGGTGAAATTAATTTTTTCCCGTTTATAAGCAGTGATTTTAATTCTTTTTGATAAAGTTAATATACGTTTAAGATAAAGAGAAAGAGCACGAGACGCAAAATATTACACATAGGTATTTGTATTCAGACACACTATATGACAGTCGCCCGCGTGGCGCAGTGGTTAGAGCGTCTGCTCTAGAGTCGTGAAGTAAGGAGTTGATACTTACGTCGCGGGTTCGAATCCCACTGTGGGACGTGGAGACCGGTCCTTCGGATGAGACCGTATAAACCAAGGTCCCTTGTCGCAGTAGGTGCTGGCACGAAAAAGATCCCTCACTGCTCAATGGCCGTAAGTGCCGAGTATAGGACAAAATTTGCAGCTCTCCACCGGCAAGTGGTGGCGTCTCCATATGAGTGAAAAAATTTCGAGAGGAACGTTAAAGAACATACAAACAAACAAAACAAACACTTTATGACATACGAGGGTTGATCCAACAGTTTGTGTAATTTCTTTCTAAAATTTTATTGTGATGTGATTAAAGCGAACAATAGACATATCTATAAAGTAGAGCCATTGTGCAACAACACTGGAAAATTTCACCACGTTCCAATTACCATTAAGGTCACACGAGTTTTCTTAACATGGAAAGTTATAAAATCCGTAGGAGACTTCGACGTAACGTCAAGGTAGGTATGTCACGTTACGTTTTAGGAGCATCTCGCCCTTACGTTCAAATATACTTCAAAATTTACAAAATTACAAAACACTGCATTCATTTCTCCATTTCTGCTCTCGAAAAAACCTGGTTACCCATCTCGCACCAACTTTCTTTATATTTTGATCATTTTTCAAAATACGCTCCGTCGTTCCGTACCATGTTCCGATTTCAGGAGGAATGTCAAGCACAGTACATCGGCGGTCCACGTCCTTTGATGTTCTCAATTTGTCTATGAGGAAAAAACGACCTTGCAAAAGGCAGCCATACCTTTCAACATTTTCCACGGAAATTCTATTTTCCTTAAATTTCTCACGCCAATTGAAAACCAATTGCTTACTGCACTTTTGTCCTTATCATTAGTATATGTGTTGAGTGTTCTCGAAATTTTCACAAAACTTACTACCTGACCGAATTTCGACGTTGTCTTATGATGTATGTCCTGATGAACAACAAATCACCAATTTAAAATCTAAATATCCAGTAAAATCGATAGAACGTTCATACAAAGGTTTATAAGAGTTTAAGCATTCGTAATTATGGCATCATTTTCTTTTCATGTACCATTTAGCACGTTTTTTTTCTCACAGTGAGTATTTAAGAAATAAATAACAAGTTTTAAGAACTTCACTGGGAAATGAGGTGGGTCGGTCACGTGAACAAATCCTGTGAAGGCCGAAGGCCTTCTCAGAAGAATTGATTACGTACCGACCCACTTCATTTCCCAGTGAAGTTTTTAAACTTGTTATTTATTACTTATATATACATTTGAGGCGGACAGTCGAATATAATCGAATGTAAATATTGCACTAACTGTTCGTTGTAGAATTTGACAATGTTGTGGAATGAAATAAAAGACGTCTTAATCGTATAGTGGTTTATTTGAGACTTGTTATTATCTATAGAAACGTAACGTAAGGTATTATGACGTCACAACAAAGTTAACGTTACATAAACTCGCGGATAATCCTTGCCACCCCGGGCACCAAAATGAATAGTAAAATTTTAAAAAGTTCATATTAAATTAACAGTTCCAGTGAAATAAAAAGCAAGTTCATAATCATTAAATTAAGAGGTCCATTCACTGATTCTTTCTTTGGCTTTTGTTTTTGATACTCGATCAGAAGATTGTATTTGAAGTTCGTTCTCATTCACTTCGATTGGATATAGTTTCAAAATTGGTCTATTGGTAAGTCCATTTTTGGTCCGTAAAGTGACAGCTCTGACGAATCCGTCTCTCCCCTGTATGAGTTCCTCCACGACAGCTAGTTTCCACATGATCCGAGGTTTCTCCTCATGGATTTGGACAATGTCACCGACTTTAATATTCTGCGACCTTCTTCCATTTGATGTATGGTACTCTCTCAGTGATGTCAAATATTCTCTCTTCCAGCGGCTCCAAAAGTGATTTAAAATAGTATTCTGATTATCCAATCGTTGGTTTAGACGACGACATGTCAATGAATGACAGTCGTTTGAATTCTCTGGGTCCTCTGTTGGGTATTGGAAGGAAGTCAGTCTTCTTCCGTACAGCAAATGTGATAGTGTTAATGGCTCTGGATCCTCGAGGTTCGATGAAACGTATGTTAACGGACGGTCATTTACTATCGCTTCAACCTCTGTGACTACAGTTTGTAAGGTTTCTAAATCGATGTATGAACGGCCGATTATTTTCTTCAGTGTGGATTTGGTAATTCCTATGAGTCGTTCCCAAAAACCTCCATACCATGGAGCTGCCTTTGGAAAGAATTTCCAATTAACTCCCATATTTGCGAGTTCTTCTTTAATAGTTTTAGATTCAAATAGTTGTTGCAGGTAATTCGCTGCGGACTTGAAAGTTGGTGCATTATCTGAGATGATTATCTTAGGCACGGACCTTCGGCTTGCAAATCTACGGAACGCCCGTAAAAATGACTGTTCGGATAAATCATTGACTGTCTCTAGATGAATTGCTCTTGTATTAGCGCATGTAAATAGGCAAATATAAGCTCTGGATTGTCTTCGGCTCCGTTCCTTGACGAATAAAGCTCCAGTGAAGTCTACTCCCGTAGTAGTGAATGGCGTTGATTCCTCTGTACGAAAATAGGGTAAAGGCGGTAGCTCTGGTGAGGAATAGTGTTATCCATTTACAGTTCTGCAAATTACGCAATTCCGAGTGACAGAATTTACAGCCTGTCTGATTGCTGGTATTCAAAACTTTTGTCGGATGTATGACACTGTCGCATTCGTACCAGAATGGCCACTCCGCTGATGAGCGTCTCTGATGATCAAGTGTGTAACAGTGTCCTTCTTTGGAAGTAAATAAGGGTTCTTTGTCTCGTTGTCTATTTTGGCATAGCAAATCCTACCTCTACAGTGTATGCATCCATCAGTATCAAGAAATAGACGAAGTTGTCTGATAAGAGATGGTTTGGCTCCATTGGAATTCATTTTCATAATCTCCTCGGAAAACGCGTTCTTTTGACATCCTTTTATTTAGTTCTTTTCGGCTCTGTACAGCTCTTCGGATGTTAAACTGTTGAGTTCCCTGTCGCATGTGTGAACTCGACAATTTTTCACAAATCGTAATACAAAATGCAACTACATGTAATATTTTTTTTTATAATCCCTGAATCTTGATACGTCGATGACGTTCAGAATGTTTTCAGGTTCAGTAGTAAGGTCGTTTGACGTTGTCGTGCATTTCTCTTGTGTCTCCATTTCAGACTGTACTGAGGTCGGTTGTGGGTTCCAACATGGCTATGCCTCTCTGTTGTAAATCCATGATGGTCCATGTTTCCATAAGGCACTGTTCATAAATGAAGTTGCGTCAAGTCCTCGAGTCAGAAGATCAGCAGGGTTGTCATGTGTTGGACAGTATTTCCATGTGAATGCACTACGTAATTCGCGAATTTCGAATATTCTGCTTGACACAAATTTTTTCAACAGTCTTTTGCTAGATAACCAGTGTAACACAATTTGGCTGTCTGACCAGTAGACAATATTCATTTTTGGTAATGAGTTTTGCAGGTGATTTCCTAGTCTTGCGACATTTAGTGCTGCCATCAATTCTAACTGTGGAAATGTGAGTGATTTAAGTGGTGCAACTGTATTTTTTGCCATGACTAATTTCGATTCGCTTCTGTTGCAGATATATGCAGCAGCTCCATAAGACTTTGTACTAGCGTCTGCAAAGATGTGTAGTGTTGTTTCACCGTCCACCTTGTTAAAATATTTCCTCGGAAATTGAACTGATAATGCGATGTTAAGATCATTTGCAAGAGAATTCCAAGTCTTACAAATTTCATCTGGTACTGGGTTGTCCCATTCATACCTTTGTTTCCAAAGTGACTGTAACAATATCTTGGCTCTCACCGTGACTGGGCTCAGGATACCAAGTGGATCGTATATTTGTGATGAGTATTGTAGTATCAATCTCTTTGTAACGGTCTCAATTTTTGGTATTTCTCGTTTCGCAAATGACAGTTTGTCGTTCATTGGGTCCCAGCGTAATCCTAGTAATTTTTTTAAATCGTCCGAGTCGTGCAATCCATTATGCATGGCTTCTGTGTGAAGTAGCTTACTGTTTGATGCCCATGATCTAAGTTTCATTCCTGCATCCATCATGATCTTCCTTGATTCCCGAAAGTACTCAATAGCATCAGTTTCACTTGCAAAACTGGATATTACGTTATCCACACACAGATCTCTCCTCAGAATACCTGCACTTGTAGAGTTCTTGTTCTGCAGATGCTTCAGAATTGTCGCATTTAAGATAAATGGGGAGCAAGTGGCTCCAAACAGCACTGCTTTGAAACGGTAAGGCACTAATGAACTGTTGAGATCATTCGGGTCCTTCAACCAAAGGAATCTCGTTGCATCTCGGTCATTCTCATGTAAACCAAAGTGCAGAAATGCTTTTTCAATATCAGTGGTTATAGCAAATTCGTGTAATCGAAATCTTGTCAGAACTGATGTCAAATCATTTAAGATGAGTTGCGTTGAATCCAAGCAGTCGTTAAGGCTCGGCTTGTCACGTGATTCGCGGCAGCTACAGTAATATATTATCCTGATAGGTGTGGTGCTGGAATCTTTTTTGACATAGTGGTGTGGAATATAATGTACCACAGAGGACGTTGTTGTATCCTCTGGAACCTTTTCTATGAATCCTTTTCGTTCCTGTTCCTCGATTATCTCACTGTATTTCTTCAAAAGTTCTGGGTTGCTACTCAGTCTGTTGATAGTACTTGGGTTCTTTCAGTGCAATTCCATAATTCGACGGTAGCTCAGAATGGTCATGTTTCCATGGCAACTTTGCGTAGTATTTGTCGTTTCGAAACTCGATGCATTTATCTTGGTACATCTTGACTTTATCACTGGACTCGTTCTTATCTGGTGTGTCCGTGATTCCAATGTTCTCTAATTCCCAGAAGCGTTGCAGTGCTTGTTCTATTGATGTATGCATAGCTATAACGTTGTATATGTGATCACTGACATTGTTTGTACAAGATGATTGAGAAGTTGGTCCTGAAAGCAGAAATCCAATCTTCGACTTCACAGCAGTTGGTCCCGGTCCCCGGATGACTTGGTTTTCTACAATTCTCCAGTAATGATCTGCTCCAATTAAAAATGAAATTACAAATTCGCTGTCAGCTGAAACCGGATGTGCTAACTTGAGTCCTTGAAGGTATGGCAGTCTTTTTACTTCAGAAGAGTGGTAGCTGGTTAGAGGGCTTGCTATGGATGGTACTAACAGAACATTAATAGCAATCAATTCTCCCGAGTCGGTTATCAAATCGATGGTTGCACTATCTAGATACTGGACACTTCCATTTTTCCCAAAAGTAGCTAGTTTAATTGCTTCAGTTTTCCTGGAACACTTCTAGTATACCGGTCCCTATGAGTATGGCGCTAAAATAGGTGCCGCCGAAGGCGGCGTACATAATAATACGATCGCGTGAGCGATCGATAAAAAGGCCACAAATCGCAAAATTGAGCCAAAATTCGTATTCCTTGTGAAAAATTGGGTTTAAAAAACTGGTTTTTAAACACAGTTTTTAAAAAAAAAAAACAAAAAAAAACTGGTTTTTAAACACAGTTTTTTAAAATGAGAATTAAAAGATTTCGTAAAATAACGTACTTGTTTAGTAGGTAAAACTCCATCTCGCGTTGTTTAGGAATATGGTCACATGATCAATTTTTGACGTAATCTCATAAATATTCATGACGTGCGTCACTTGTGTTTTGACGTAATGAAGAAATAGTTGATAGGACTCAAAGTGAAATGCTACTAAAATTGCGAGATTTTTGTGAGAAATGCAGAGATTTAACAAGTTGGAGCTAATTACTAGTAGTTGGTTGATTGGATTGTGCATCATCATCGATTTGAAAGGAAAAACATTCTGAATATGAACATTCGGAGGTTGGGATATCGAGCTCAAGTAAACGGTAAGTCGCTTTTACCAATAATTAACCTGCCTAAACTTAGCGCACAATATCGGGCATGTTTCGATATTAAACCAAGGCTAATTCATCAAAGTTTCGGTCACAAAACTTTCCTGTTTTTTGTAAGCAAAAATTGTATGAATAAGCCCAAAGTGATGGAGATGCGAGCATGGGTGCATATGAAACAGTCACAATATCCGAGCTATATATACTCTAACCCTAATCCGTAGATCGCAGACAACGCACAGATATTCAATTAACGATTTGCTCAAGTTTTACATGTTTCATGCTTTACTCCTGTAAGATAATATAGCGGCACAGTTCGACATTAGGCTGATTCATGCAAGTTTTTGGTCACAAAAGGCACTTGGCAGTGCCTTTTGTAAGCAAAAATTACATGGATTAGCCCAAAGTCAGGAAGATTTAAGACTGGATTGATGAAACAGTTTTCCAGTCTTAAAACTATACACTCTAACCCTAATCACTCGATCGAATGTGTTTTGTTGAAGCGAGGGGAAAATGGCGGTTTGTTTACATTCTGCATAGCAACGGCAAGGGAAATAACCGCTCAAGCGCAGTCGCGTGATTCTGGGGACCGGCATACTAGAAACTTTCCGATATCCTTTGTGTGATTTCTAACTCATTGGCGAGTTTTTCTGTTATGAACGATCTTTGCGATCCTTCATCAAATAAGATATTAGCTTCGGTTGTCTGATTTTCATGACTCACCGGGGCAATAGCTGTTTTCAGTAAAACATTTGTAGGTCGATGTTCAACATTCAGTACTGTGGTTTCTGACTTCTTGCTCGTTTCTACAATGTTGATACTTGTTGATTTGGTGGGCTCGTCTCTGTCCCTCGTTAGTTTCATGTCGCATATACTTGTGTGGTGTTTTTTCTGACACTTTTTACACCTGTTGCGGGATTTACAATCTGAGGCGCGGTGGTTTCCCAAGCAGTTGAAACATAATTTCTTCCGTTTAAGATGTCGAATCTTGTACTTACGTCTGTAACTTTCTTACAATCCCCTGGAAAATGATTCTCTGTGCAACAATAAATGCATGGGCGGCTCTTCATCTCTGTTGTTTCAACATGAGGAGTTGACCCTCTTGTTTTCTGATTACGTGAATAATGAACGTTGCGTTGTTTCTTTGAGGCTCCAGTAAGAAACATTGCTGTTGCGTGAAATCCATCACTATTTTCAATCTGGCCTGATTCAAGGATTTTGACTTCTTTGCTGATAGCTTTACGAAGATTTTGTAGTGAAATGTTGTCACCATCGTACTCACGTGCAATGTTTTTCCCAATTTCAGATGGTAGCTTGTTGAATATGACTGGAATAAGCAATGCTCCAAACATCTCTTGTCTTTGTCCTAGACACTCTAAGCACCTGACATGAGATTCCAAGAAATCTCCATAATTTCTTAAACTAATGGCATCATTTCTGGGGGAAGGAAGTTCGATGAGTGCTCTCATATGAGCGTTAATAATTTTCTGTGGCTGACCAAATCGTTCTTTGAGCAAGTCTATTGCCGTTTCGTAATTAGCATTTGTAAGCGCAAATCCTGCTATTGTTTGTGCTGCTGTGTCGCGTAATTGGCTTTGAGATAGCTAAACTTTTGAATTGGCGTCAAAGTATGATTGCAATGAATCGTTGATTCGTAAGAATCCCAAAATGTATTCCATTCTAATACATCTCCGTAAAAATGCGGAAGATCTAATTTTGGTAATCGGTGATTATTCGTGGCGTGTTGGGATGTTAATGACAAAACATTTTCCTGGCTACTTTGTGCATTGAGATCAGAGGCAGGATAATTGTTCAAAATATTCTCACAAGCCGTTTCACTTGAGTTAATTGTAGCTTACGTGTTAACGTTATTAGCATGAATATCTGTGGTGGGTATAAAAAAACTCGGCATTGGCGTTCAAAGTTTTACATGGAATTTTTTCTGTAAATTTCTCAGTTTGCCTAATTTTACAGTCTAATTCATACATGTACTCATCTGTATTTGCGATTTCTGTTTCGATGTCCTCTTCAGATGGAATATCCAATATGCGGTCGTTCAATTCGTGTAGGGTCTGCCTTTTCAGCGCGAGAGACTTTCTAATTATGTTGATTTCCTCGGTAATTTCTTCACTGGCTGGATTTTCCTTCAAGTCCAAAAACCGTCCAAATAGCTTTGTAACTGCTGATCTGTTGCCGGCTCGTATAGCTTTTAGTCTTCCTTCCATTGTATGTACTACGTAGAATTCCGTCGGTCACGGCACCAAAATGTTGTGGAATGAAATAAAAGACGTCTTAATCGTATAGTGGTTTATTTGAGATTTGTTATTATTATCTCTAGAAACGTAACGTAAGGTATTATGACGTCACAACAAAGTTAACGTTACATAAACTCGCGGATAATCCATGACAGACAAATTATGCAAAATGGAAATCGGCTTGAAGAGCGGCACAGGAGTCGGCAGTTTTATCTTTAAAGCAATGTAAACAACAACCAGTGAGCTTCGTGAGCGTAGCGACAGGAATGCAACGCGTTTTTGGCAAATTCTGCGACCCCCTCTAGATCCGCGCATGTGTGCCTACTGAACTTCGGAAGTGTTTGTCAGCTGTTTGTGGCATGATTGCACTACATTGAGATATCCAACAGATTTTCAAATTTATTGTGAGTAAAGTTTAATGAAAAAAAATTATAGCATTCAGAGGTCTACAAGAAAAATAAGGGTAAACATTGAGACTATGGAGGTCAGACATGAAAATTGTAACACGTAGTTTTCTATTCTCTATGTAAAATCGATCAAGAACTGCATTAAACCTCGTTTACATTGTAAATAAAGTGATTATTTATTTTACTTGCGTATTTTGTACATTTTTATACATGAAAAGCATGCTATATTGCTAAGATGAGTAAGTCTTTTTATGTAGATATTACTGTGCTGTGTGATTAGGTCATGTAATGACCTGTGACATTCGAAAAACTTCATACAGGTATGGAGATATTTGCTCTCTGTATGTTTATATAATAGAGAGATACCACAAATGTATATATTAAGAATTGAAATGAAATGTCTCCCCCTTCTTTTTCAAACATCCATTTCTATTGCAACTGACAAAGTGTTATTATCATTAATATTTAAAATATTTTTAATTAAGAAAATTCAGCAAGCGTGTATTTCACACCGAAGGAAGATCTATTGAACATCTGTTGAATGAAAAACATTCATATGTTTTAATTATTTTTATTATGTTATTCATCGCTATCGAGTTAGAATTTCCGAGAGCATTTTCACTGTGACGGTGTAGGCAAAATATCATCTCACCGTGTGATTCGGTCACGTTATGACCTCTGACCCCCTAATAAGTTCATACAGAATTGAACATATTTTCTCTTCAATACGTTTATCTAAGAAAAATATTTGCAAATGTAAATATTTAAAATTACTTCCTTGTTTATAAATTAAGCATTATTGCGTAACATAATACATTTTTAAATGTATCGTCTTATTTATTTATTTATTTCAGTTTACTTTTGGCTAGAATCTAAGTAAGATTGCAGCAAGATGAAATTTATCAATTCAGGTATATTTAAACCTCAAAGCAATATATTTGGTCTTTGTTTGCAAAATGTATACAAATCACACGGTTTTGTGTTAGAAGAATATTAAGCTATTTCAACACCCCACTCCCCAGAAATACTCTATGTGCCTCAAATTTGATAAAATCTGGATCCACTCCAAATCCCATTCTTTCAACAGTGAACTGATTATTGAGACAATTACATGCACAGCATCCCTGCAAAAATAAATATAAGTAGCAAGCCTTATAAATTACACATCTAATAAAAATCAATCCTATGTATTCTATCAATAATTGTCATTCCGGACACAAAAGAAAAAGGCTGCGAAATCAGAGGTTTTTGTCCAGTAGGTCACTGCTGCTGCAATGTGGAGATCTCATCTGCGGCTTTAGAAGTTAAGGAGGTTGGATCCTGCTATCAAATGTATTGAGAATTTTTATCAAGTATATTTTTAGAATCTACACACATAGCTCAATTAAAGATCAAAACACAAAATGGGGGTTAATGCGCTTCTTTTGGTACTACGGAGCATTTAGTATGACCTTTTTGCACTGCTATTTCTAGCATTTAAATCAAGTTTTTCCTCAAATATATTTTATTCAAATAGATTATTGGAACATACGCAGTCTCATTTAATCTTGAATAGACAAATTAAAAATTTGTGACAACAAAAAAGTTTCATATTACTTCTTATGGTCAATTATTTAACCTTTCTGCACTAAAAAAATGTCATTTTTCTGGCAATAAAAATTTAACAAGCAATAAAATCATTTGAAAGTAATGCCATTTTACTGGATTTAAGCAGAATGGTTAAAATTACCATAAATATTCAGAATAGAAAAGTAAAAGTGGGCGTTCGTGATGTTAATTTTTAGATATTACTAATAAAGTGTTGATTTTAGGCTTAAATTTGGGGCTATTTTTGTCCTGGACTTTCACAATATATTTGCTATATTTGTTATATATGATGATAGAATTTATTACAATTAATTCAGTATGTAATTAGGATCAGTATAAAATAATTCACTGCACAAATTAACTCTGTATGCAGGCTGCATGGAAAAATAGGAATCCAAACTTCACAATACTGTAAATACTTCGAAAGAGAAAAATTGATCATTTCCCTCTAAAAAAAACCTTTCGCCACAAAATATAATTCCTCACTTAATGCTTTTGGTATGGAACTTAATCATGGGGTTTTAATTGAATAGAGTTTAATTTGCATTGTAGAATCCAAATTTATTATATGAACTAAAACATTACACAAATTTTTTTTAAATAGAGGTCAATACAAAAATCCGCTTAAAAGCTCAGGAACGAACCTCGTTAAACATATTAGAGATTCGGAAGCACACAATGCACGCTGTGATAATTATTAATTTTAAAGAAATAATCAAAATTATTTAATTATGAAACTTGTAATTTTCTGAAAGTTTATACATTTTTGAGCAGTAAAAAAAATCCAAATCCTATGGGAAAATTTATCAACTCTTTTATTTGACGAGATGCGCCGTACTGTCTCTTTAACTGTCATGAATTCTATGATTAAATTATGACAAATATAGCAAATATATTGTAAAAGTCCAGAAAAATAGCCCCAGTTTAAGTAATATCTAAAAGAAATACATCACCCCATTTTTAATTTTCTTTCCGAACATAGAAGATAATTTCAAACATTCCACTGAAATCCAGTAAAAACTTTATACATTAAAATGATTTTAAAGATTGCTAAGATGACATTTTTTGAGTGCAGGAAGATCAAATAACTGACTATGAGAAGCAATTTAAGAGTTTTTTTGATGTGCCTATTCAATATAAGATAAGACTGTATTTGGTTCAATGATTTATTTGGATATGATATTTGGAGAATAAATTGATTGCATTGATGTGTTAGATGTAATAACAGTGCAAAAAGGCATATTAAATGCTCCATTGTGCCAAAAGAAGGGCACTGACTCCCATTAATGGTTCTGATTTTTGAATAAGTTATGTGTGGATATTCTAAAAAATAAACTTGATAAAATCTTAATACTTTTGAAAGCTGGATCCAACCTCCATAAATGTATTTTTATTGAAATCAAATTAAATCTATTGGCGGAGTAACCTTTTTTGAAAATCAGCTTTCATCTGTTTCTTCTGAAAATTTCTTAAGCAAAGCATTTACAAAAGTTTCATCTTTCAGATGGTATTTCAAAAAAAATTCCTTCATTGGAAATATAAGACGAAAGTCCTTCACACTTGCTCCATGGTTCAGTAAGTTTAACCCTATTGCAGAAGTACGTTTAATGGCAAGTCTTCATCAAAGAAATATTCAATTAATTTCCTTTTTTCAAATATAGCGTTGTATAAAAGATAAAACAAGGCTGTCATCAATTGATTCAACCGTACATTAACATCAGCTCCATTGTTTAAAAGTATGTCGAGCGTCTGTACATCTAATCTTTTGCATGCATAGTACAATGGTGTAAACCCAGATTCATCTCTAGCATTAATATCTGCTCCATGTTCAATGAGTAAGACAACCTCCTCATGATGTTCTGCAAGACATGCATAATGTAAAGCAGAACGAGAGTCTTCATCCGTGGCGTTAACGCAAGCTCCATGTTCTAAAAGTAATTTTGTGCATTCACGGTTGCGCTGGACAACACCCATAAGTGCTGTTAATCCATGCTCATCTTGGACATTAAGATCACAACCAAAATTGATTAAAACTGATATAATGTCATGTAAATTGGAATTTAGTACCCCAGGATGAAAAAGAAACCAATCATCGTCCGCTGTATGTAGATCGTGTAGCAGGAAACGAAGTCTTTCCCCTTCTTTAGGATGGTCAAAGATGCATTGGGTGAGTACAGTTTTTCTGTTATCAAAGGTCGTATTGACTTCAGCACCACTTTTTATCAAAATGGTCATGCAATCTTGGAATGAGGACCATGTTGCAATAGAAAGTGGAGAACACAGACCCTGGAAAGCATAGTTGACATCAGCACCTGATCTAATGAGTAGAGAAATCAAATCTATATTTTTACCGCAACAAGCGCCAGTAAGAGGCGAAGGTTGCACTAAGTGTTCTGTGTTAACATTGGCCCCGTGATTTATCAATAACTTTACGCAATCAATATGGCTCCTATAACACGCGGTGTATAACGGAGATATATCATTATGGTCACAGATATTAACCATTCCATCATGATCGATAAATATGTTCAGTATTTCTTCTTTTCCAACATTTGAAGCCCACCATATTGGTGTTCGTCCATAAGTATCTTGTTCATTGATTTTGATGCCTTTCTCTACCAATAAAGCAACCACATCGAATTTTCTGCTTTGAATTGCAGCCCAAAGAGGAGTTTTGCCTGCTTTATTTGTATTGTGAATATTTGCTCCTTTGTCAATCAGATAAGAGACGATAGATGAGTGGCCTCCTTTACATGCCCACCAAAGTGCCGACCAGCCCTCCTTTCCATATTCATCATCATAAGTATCTAGAATGTAATCGTAATCAAACAAGTCTAAACAACATCTTTCTTCTAAATTTACACCTTTTTCGATTAAAACTTTCACTATTTGACCATGCCCATTACAACAACTTTCGACCAGAGGAGTGTTTCCATTTTTGTCTGGGAAGTTGACGCTTGCTGCATTTTCAATCAATAAATTCACTATATCAATGTGTCCAAATTTACAAGCTGCAGTTAATGGTGTTACAGATTGGTAAGTAAAATGAACAAAGGTGTTTACATCATTTTGAGTGCAAATCCCTTCGTTGAGAAGAAACTCCAAAATGTCTTTCTTCCCTGTTATGCAGGGTATGGTTATAAAGTTTAAACCATCTAATGGGCAAGAATTGTTTAAATGCTTACCCCTATCACACAACTGTTTACACAGGAAACATATAAATTCTGAATTCAGATCAGGGCCAAGTAGTTTTAAACACAATTTCACCATGTATAAATTGCCACTGATTAAAGACAAAAGAAAAGCTGATTTTTTACTTTGGAAAAGCTCGTTCTTTAACTCCGAATCAACAACCTCTAAAGAATGAACTAAGAAAGTAGTCCATCCTGCACCAATCACCCAGTGTAGAAAACTTGTCTTGTTTATCTCTAGCAGTAGTTTCGCCGAAACGTTTTCGTAAAAATTTGGAATATTGCCGTCGCAAACACCTATTACTTTAAATGACGGATCTGGTATTAAATCGTTGATGTCTATTTTTTCCGATTGCTTCTCCTCGATTGTTAAATAGCTGACTAAACTATGATTTCCTATTCTATTTCGTGTGTGCAAAATTGAATTTAGTTTTCCATTTGATTTTAACTTCTGAAATAAAAGTTCTTCAAGCTGATCATTAGGAAAGCAAGGATTAAAAAGAGTATCAAAATTTCTTTCTTCAAAATGATCTGCTATTCTATCACAAAATACTTGTTTGTGTTGATCATCAAGAATGATAAAGTATTCACTCTCGTTTTTGGATATTTGTCCTCGATTTCTGAATCTGGAGTTTAGAATCCATATGGGGGCAAATTTTATCAAAATATAGAGAGATTCCTTTGCAAAGTGATTCGCAATGATTTCAATCAATGTAGAATGTAATAATTTATATGAATCACCTTCGTTTGAAATAAAGACATTCGTCAGTCCATCCAAAACTTGTTTTATTTTTTTTCCTTGATGTACCTTGATCCAAACAGCACTCTTCAAAGGCAACCTCAAAAATTTTATCGATCTCATCATCTTTTCCTTTCTGTAAATGCCTAGACTGAATACCATTTTCAAAGAATATGCATAACACTAGAGCACAGTATTCGTAAGGTGTTGGGTGCCGTCTGAGAAGATCTAGTTCCCAAAAATACGCTTCATAGGGAAACTTCAAAAATTGCTTTGGGTTTTGCATAAAAGTTTTTTTGGTTGAAATGAGTTTGCACAATAGTGGGAAACAGTCATGTAAGTTCAAAATATCTTTTTTGAATTTGCAATCAACGTTTGTGTGACATTTGTAAATCGCTTTTTTCTCCTGTGGTGACAATGAAAATTCTGTGGAATGAAGGTTTATTACTTTGCAATAGTCAGGTTGAAAGAGTATGATGTCTTTGTAATGGTTTATGTTGCTTATTGAAAGTCTACATGTCACCAATAAACGCGTGTTGGCGGTTTTTGATAAACAACGCATTATATCATCTTCATATCGTTTCCATTCTTTTGCTGAATAGAAATCGATGCTCCGCTCGCCACAAGGATCATCTATGACAAAGATCTGGTCCACGTTCTCATTGAAATACTGAAGTATCTCATTTGGAACTTTAATGGGCACAACGCAATACCCTTTGTTTTGCATGTTTAATGCAACATGGTGCACAATAGCAGACTTTCCAGCTCCAGAGTTTCCAACAACAGATACACATTTTTGGGATTGCGTTAAATTATAAACTTCAGTGGAAGCTCGAGTTTCATGAAATTTAGCGTCCTCTTCTGTCCAAAAATCTAAAAGATCTTGTATTTGTTCTAAAATAAAAGTGTAATAATTAGCAAATAACATATTATATAAATACATATACGAGTGCAAATGTAAATACAACTGTAATGCATATGTATATATTTTAATCAAATATATACAGAATATTTACTTAAATTGAATGTTCAAACTTTAAGTATGACATTTATACACTATATTTAACAAAATAATTGCATAAAAAGTATCTATACGCATTTATGAATACCTTTGATATTTTGAGGAATGGTTTCTTGCAACTGAGCTCCCAATTGTCTTATTTCTACCATAATCTCTCTGTCTTTTTCCTCAATTAGAGAGGTCTTTAATGTCTTTGTCTCTAGAAGTTGTGCTTTTCCTCCTAATCTTTCAATGGCCTGTTTATAAAAGTTGGATGTTAATGTTACCTTGCGAGAAAATTTAAGGTACAAATGAAACAATCATGCTGTGGGTGAATAGCATTTTTTGGTGATAAAAAATAATTACACTTTCAATATCTGCCCAGTAGTCATTTAAATCTGTTTCTGAAAGTTTGGCATTGTTTGAATGAGCTACAATATTTCTATAATGCTTTATTCTGGCAAGGTCTGCTCCAACACTATCGTCTGTTTGTGGAGGCAACTTGTCAAAACCCGTTGCAGGAGCAGGGACATTCGTCATATACCGTAGAAGGAGGATCAGCAATGTGACGTCAAATTGCCTTGAGTTTACATATCCTGAAATATACAGGAGAATCAAAATTGCTAAAAATTGTAAAACGTGATTTGTAAATATAAATTTTCAGTTGTCTTTTATAGTTGCATTTTGATAAGTCTACTTCCGAAATCTACTAATATTATCAACATCTTGAAAATATGTTTTTGAAATTAAATTTCTATTGTTTAAAGAAGTCTTATATTGTCAAATGAATAAATGAAACGTAATATTACAATAATGCATACGGCGGGTCGACATCATATGCTAAAGCTACAATGTAGCTTTTTAAAAAAGCAAACCATTCTACTCGTTTTCTGAAGTGTATTACCTGAAGACGGAAACAGTGTCTTCCATTGCTGAGCAGATATGATTCTCCCCTTTAGAGCTGAAAGGGTGTCTTTATTTACTGCGAGGTCTGTCATTAACTGTAACGGTGGGTGACGGGAATCAAAGTACGTTCTCACTGTTATTGGCGTTCTTCTTAGAATTAGAAACATAAACCGACAGAAATTTATTTCCTCTGGATGAAGAACAGGAGACATAGCAATTGTTTGTGGATTATTTACAATTTGAGTTGTATTTGTGTAGTTGTGTTTACTTTGAGTCTCGTGTTTGCTGAATTTTGGCGAAGCTGTTTCAGTAATTGTACCAGATGAGGTATTCACTAAAGTGGACGAATTGTTTTCTTGTGCCTTAGTTTAAAAAGTTTGCAAAGTTTTATTGGCTGAGTCTACCAATGATTCCACAATGCTTGATGAACAAACATGACTTGACTTAGAGAACGTAGGTATGGTTGTAAATCCTGTGTTGATAACTTCAGGAGCTTTTTTGTAAAATTGTCTCATTACACGTTTTAGTTTCTTCTTTCAATGTAGTAAAGTCAGTTTTGAGATTAGATCCGCCTGTTACGAAATTTGTTAAAGTTTGTTGTGTCCTCATCGCAGGAAATAGCAGTGTTGTTGTTGCTGTTATTGATTGTGTTGAATCATACTGTTAGCTTGATGTTGAATCTTTTTCTGGGGAATTGATTTTCTCCCAAGTTGGATCTAAAGACTGGCCTGAGAAATTGAAAGAGGGGCATCCGAACCAGTTCTTGAATATAAAACTGAATTTAACTTTGTGGGTGCTCAAGGAACGTCAGATTGGTGATATTTTTCTACATTTTCCACACTTTGTTTCGATTTTTGACATAAATTAAAGACTTCTCTGATGAGCTTCGTGATGTGGTAAATGAAAAAGCTTATTCACCACTTTCCATATTTTCCTTATCTAAAATCAAACGAAAAGTTTACCATCGTTTAGTTTTCAGAGACTCTTTTTAACAGATAAATTATCTCGATCTCGCTAATGCAATTAACTTGAATAATTTTAAAACTTTGATTATTTCACAAAAGGTGCTTACCTCAGTTGTACGTCAATTATAATGCCTTTTTATAAATCGTGATTTGTACTGCTTTCAATTCAATGATAAGAGCAAATTTAATTTTTACTAGGTAGTATATAAGAAGGGCTGCATAAAAGATTTTCAGAATTGCATTTAAAATTTAAAATGTCAAGTCACTGTGCTGAATGGTATTTTTTTTTAAAAATATTCTTTACATAAGATGAAGAAAAATCAATAACACATTAAGTATTGCCAGAAAAAGAAAAAAGAAAAAGAATAATTCTGCTTAAAAGCTTCCACCTTCAATTGATCATATTTTATAGATGCACCTGATTGTGAACAAAACATGAACTTAAATCTTAAATTTAAGTAAATAGGCACGGATATGATGACTGTAGACTTTCTATGCAAATGATAACCATTTGAATAAATATGTTATATATCATTTAGTTGTCAGGTGATCGGTAAGACTTTGGGTATTATGTATTGAAATTACATAATCAAATTTAAACCAGGTACCGGTATAAAGAAAGTAAAAGGTATTAAATAAACAAGAGGCCCATGGGCCACATTTTTACCTGAGTAACTATGGTCCCTCTGTTCTTCATCAGCATTCTTTTTTCATATAATCTTATGTAAAACTTTGAACACATATTATGTCCCCACCCTACCCCAGGGGTCATGTTTTGGACATACTTAAATCTAAACTACCCGCGACGTAAGTATCGGGTTCGAATCCCACTGTGGAACGTGGAGACCGGTCCTTCGAATGAGACTGTATAAACCGAGATCCCGTGTCGCAGTGGGTGTTGGCACGAAAAAGATCCCTCACTGCTCAATGGCCCTGAGTATCAAGTATAGGTCAAAATTTGTAGCCCTCCACCGGCAAGTGGTGGCGTCTCCATATGAGTGAAAAATCCTCGAGAGGGACGTTAAACAACAAACAAAAAAAATCGACTTCTTCTCAAGAAGAAACACTGTGCCAATTTCAACCAAACTAGCCATAAAGCATTCTTGGGTGAAGAGGATTTAATTTTGTTAGAAGTTGACAGACGCCAGACACCCTTCGATCAGAAAAGCTCACTTGAGCCTTTGGCTCAGGTGAGCTTAAAAGTCTAGTAAATAATTAATGGGAGGGCGATTTTTATATTACATGTATACTGAGAAGCTTTATCAAAAGTTTTAAATTTATTAGATATGAAAACATAACAGTAAGCTTGTAAGCATAGAAATGTAAACTGTAAGTGTAACCTTGAATCTATATTGAAAATGAAATATTCTTCACCAGGTTAGATCACGTTCTCGTTTGAGCTGGGACAAAGAAATAAAACATGAAGTTTAAGCGAATCAAGGACCTTTTCAGGCCCGTAACAACGGTTTCAAAAGTTGGGGTGGGGTGGGGTGGGGCAACTTCCTAAACAAGACAAAAAAAAAAAACACAGTCACACACAACCTAAACTTACCAAAACGTGACAGGGCCAACTTCCCAAAAGAATCTGACAAGCAAAAAAAAAGTAATCGACCGTCTCCAAATCCTGGAATATGCCAATGCTCGACCTTACTGCAACAAAAAGTGGGGACTAACCAGCATATGAAGAAAAATTTACTTTTAGCAGAATACTATTCTCAGAAAAAGTGGGGGCCAACTGCCCCCCCCCCCCCCCCGCGTTCTACGGGCCTGCTTTCAATAAAATCAGTAGTATTACGTATTTGCTTATTTAAAGTTAATCATTGAATAAATATCCCTTCTTCCTTACTATAAAAATCTCTCTGAGGAGTTTTGTAAGCCAGGTCCAAGTAGTCTTAAGCACAGGGCGTGCATTACGTACGATTAGATTGTATAACGTCAGCATAAGTTTGAATTGTTGCGTTATGAAATGAAAACTGAGAACATAACGAACAGTTATCGATCTCAAAAAATCTACAAACAATACAAATGTGTAAACACCGACCTCCGGAAATGCCAGAGGTGGGATAGAGGTGCCTAAGAAGAGTAAACAACCCTGTTGACCGGTCATATCCGCAGTGAGCCCTATGTATTGAGCAGGTAGACGAAACATTCCGTAGTCAATAAATTAGTATGAAAACAAAGGCCTAGCAGTTGGTATGAAACACATCAGCCAAAATACGACCCAATGAAAGGTTATATCTGTTAATATAACGACCATAGAATTTACGAATGTTTACTTTAAACGAGGTTGTTGAAAGCAAAGAAAAAACGACGTAAAATGCACAAGAAAAGCTGAAAAACGACAACATATTGAACATTTCTATGGTACTGTGTCAAGATATTCAAAGTGATGTTTAAAGAGGTATTGCAGTGTTTTTTAGGGGGAATATTCTATTGAATCTTGAGTACAGTACCGACCAGACACAACCTAACAGAAAGCGAACCCAGAGCGCACCCCGGGTTCGCTTTCTGGGTTCGCTTGGGGTTCGCTATAGCGAACCCGGAGCGAACCCGCAGCGGACCCCGAGCGAACCCGCAGCGGACCCAGAGCGAACGCCGAAAGCGAACCCAAAATTCAGTAGCGAACCCAGAGAGCGAACGCGCGTTCGGTGTTGCATAACAGAGCTGTCAATCAGGATTAGCGATAAAACGTGTTAACCAATCAGCGGGTCGACCAATCAGCATGCCAGTTTGTCATTCGATGTAAATAAAACATTGTACAAGCAAAGCGTGTTAATGTACAGTGTAAAACTATTTTAACATTATCAAAAAAAAAATTAAATTAATATATTTTAATTATCCAGGTAGCATATTATATTTACACATTTATTTATTTATTTTTCATTTTCAAAATCCATTAATATACATTGCGTAAATTTATCAGACAAAAGATACCCTAATGTATAAAAGAAATAAAAAAGAAAGCAATGGTTTTTATAATTGTTACATAAAACAAAAAAAAAAAAGGTTTCTGATAAATTATAGCATTTCATCATCTCAAGATAATGTACAAGATTATGTATATGTACGTGCTTTTATTCAATTATTTTATTTTTATAATTCTAATGCACATTTTCGTTTAAATCCAGATCAACATCAAAATAATTGATCTTCTTAATTGAAAATAAAAAAAAAAATGAATGTACAGCATAAATGTGCATGTACAAATATGTCCAATCGCAAACTACTATATTATGGTACTAATTTGATTAAATCTTTTACAAAAAATAATGTAAAGCTTGATTTAGTTTTCTTTTTTTTTTAACTGAAATAAAAAGAAAAATGAAGCGCGATTTACATAATTGAACGAACTAATTATCGGAGTAACTAAGCAAAATAGTAAGTCGTACAATATTGTATTCTCTTAAAATATCGTAACTTTTACTGATAAAGCGTATTTAAGATGTTTAACGATTTTTTCTCTGATGTTAATCATGTTAACTGCTAATTATAGTCATGGTATTTTTATATCAATACATCAAAAATGTATATTTAAAAAAATAAGAAAGAAAGAAAGAAAGAAAAAACAAATCCCGATACTTACATATATTTAGTCGGCAAATGTACACGACATGATTGTCGGGGTTACTTTTCATCCCTGGTACTTGTTATTATTTTTTTTAATATATATCATTTCTGCAAATGAATGATTTTTTTTAAAACAGATTGCTGATTTTTGAAATTCATAAATGGAAAGATGATTATAGTATAATTCATTTTTAGGCCATTTTTAAAAATCTATCCCCTTACTGCATATCATAAAATCCAAATTGAATCAAAATTCACGACCAACCTACATGTACATGTATATCATGTGATAGAAAATGCAGCATTCGATCATAAATTACATGTTTACATGTCAAAAACATAAAAAAAAAAAAAAACAATTTTCCTAAGTCTGAGATTTACACAAATAATCATTTGTAATCTAAAATGACTATTAAGTCTTATTTACATGTAGTTTCAAAAATATTCATTTCTAAATATTTTATTTTTTCTTTCAGTTTTATAAAGTCCATGAATTTCACCAGTAAATATTTCTGATCTAAAATATCTATTAAATAAATTAAGCCTTATTTCGTCTTAAAAATATCCACTCCTAAATATTTTTAACTATTTTGCGTACAAAAATCGTGCGTTTGCGGTAACAGTCGTGAATGATCGTGTAACATGAAGAATCGTGTGATTGAAGGATTAATCTTGCGAAA